TTCATTCTATTATATGGCGAGGATGAGAGTAAAAGCACAAAGGGTGATGCCGTGCCATTTCATGATTTCATTGCTTTACTTGATTCCCGAATTGTGAATTAACCTTGGCTGCTTCATTGCTTATTTCGGAAAGAGGCTTCCTTGATGTTTCTACACTTATTGTTCTGATTGTCGCTCCCTTTTTATATGTCCCCTCCTCGTTATTACTTAAATGGCTTACATGTTATTTTTGTTATTTTATATATATATGATCACACGGGTTTAGTGTGATGACCCGATACGCCATCTTATATTTTAGAACCAAATTCTGTGTTTCGAGGTCTAAAAAAAAAACTCATCTTAGCCTTTTTCGATTTACGTGCGCAGTCCGGGTGTTCTTCCGCAAGGCTTATATGTTAAAAATGAAAAAAAAAGAATTTTTGCCTTAAAAATTAATTTGAGTTGACTTCGGTCAAATTTTTGAGTAAACGAACCCGGATCCAGATCCGTATTTTGATGGTCCCGGTGAGTCCATATCGAAATATGGGACCTGGGCATATGCCCGGAATCGAATTCGGAGGTTCTTAACTCGAGTTATGAATTTTTGGAATACCCCATGTATTCTGGAAGTTTAAAGATATTTAAGAATCGATTGACGTTTGAATTTATTGATACCGGATCCATATTTTGGTTCTGCAGCCCGGTACAGGTCCACTATAATATTTATGACTTGTCTGTCGAATTTGGTGAGAAACAGAGTTGATTTAACGTGATTCGGACGTTCGGTTGTGAAAATAGAAGTTTTAAGGTTTTCTTAAAAATTTCATTTGATTTGGTGTCCGATTCGTAGTTCTAGGCATTATTTTGGTATTTTGATCACGCGAGCGAGTTCGTATGATGTTTTAGGACTTGTGTGCATGTTTGGTTTGGAGCCCCGAGGGTTCGGGTGAGTTTCAGATAGGCTACAGGGTGAATTGGACTTAGAGAAATCTGATGTTTTTGCTACAACTGGTTTTCTGGTGTATTGTGCTTCGCGATCGCGAAGGGGATCTGGGATGGGGGAGGATTTTACACTACGCGAACGCGAGACTATGGTCTTGAACGCGGAGCAATGGGGGGTTTGCTCTATGCGAACGCGACCCGTCACACGCGAACGTATAGCGTTAGCTAGGTTGGGCAGGAGACTTGAGGTTACACTACGCGAACGCGGGTCTTGTCTCGCGAGCGCGGAGGTCAGGGGGCCCCTAAACCTTCACGAACGCGTTTAGCCTCTCATGATCGCGTAAGCCACTAGGGCTCTGCTCTTCGCGAACGCGTCAGTGTTCATGCGAACGCGATGAACACTGACGCCCAGTGATAAAATAGTCCCAATTACACGATTTTTGCCATTCCTTCAAAATTTCAAAACTAGAAGACCTAGAGGTGATTTTCCTAAAAGATTTTCTTCCCCAATTTATTGATAAGTGATTCTAACCTACTTTCTTTCAATTATCCATTACATTTCATGAGTTTTCAACCTAAAATCTAGAATTTTCATGGTGGAAATTGGGGGTTTGGGTAGAATTAGGGATTTTTGTATAATTGGAATTTAGACCTCGAATTGAGGTCGGATTTCGAAATAAATTACATAATCGGGCTCGGGGGTGAATGGGTAAATAAATTTTGGTCCGAACCTCAAATTTTAACCAAGCGTGCCCGAGGTCGATTTTTGACTTTTTGGGGGAAAGTTTGGGAAATCTAAATTTATGCATTGTAATTGATTCCTTTAGTAATAATTAATATTATTGAGTCGTTTGTGGATAGATACGAGTGGTTTGGAGGTGGATTCTAAAGGAAAAGTCATGGTTGAGCTTCGAGTTTGGTCTTCGGAGCGAGGTAAGTGTCGTGGTTAACCTTGACTTGAGGGAATATGACTTGTTTGTCTATTTGCTACATGTTTAAATATTGGGGAACAACGTATATGTGAGGTGACAAGTACTTATGCGTTGTAGTCGGGTTAAAGCATGCGGATAAGGCTCGGTTTCTTGCAATTATAGCTTCCTTTATAATGTTATCCATCTTTAGACTAGTATTGTTAAATTGATCGTTCTTATCATATTTACGGATCTTCTAGTGATAATTGAGTATTGATTCCGAAGATGAGGTTGATATTGTGGAACCAAATATTAAAGTAAGGCTTGTACTTGTTATTCTATCTCACTGTTGTTATTTGTTTATTGCGTTATGGTAAGGGAGAGTGTTAATGCACGAAGAGTGATGACGTGCCATATTGTGAGTGTTAATGCACAAAAGGTGATGCCGTGCCATATTGTGAGTGTTAATGCATGAAGGATGATGCCGTGCTATGTTATGAGAGTTATTGCACGAAGAGTGGTACCGTGCCATTTCTATTGATTTTATGGTGAGGTTGAGAGTAAAAGCACGAAGGGTGATGTCGTGAATTTTTCCTTTACTGTATTTACTTGTTCTTATTGGTTCATGGTATATTGGCTGTTCAAGTCACCATTTTGTTGTAGTTCTCTATCTTGTATTCCCCTCAGCATGTCCCTCCCCCCTCCAATAGTACATGTTTAGCTGTTATTTGTACATATACTGTTAAATTACACAGGTTTGTTATGTAGGTGTTTTGTCATAGCCTCGTCACTACTTCGTCGAGGTTAGGCTCGACACTTACCAGTACATGGGGTCGGTTGTACTGATACTGCACTTCATGTGCAGATTTTAGTATCGGTCCCAGTTGATCGAGAGGCGTAGCAGCTTGGACTGGTTCATCGGAGACTCAAGGTAGATCTGTTGGCGTTCGTAGACCTTGAAGTCCCCGTCTATCTTTTTTGTTTTTTTTCTTTACTGTTTCTTTCGTTCAAATAGTTGTACTTCTTTCAGATTTTACTTGTAGTAAATCCTAGAAGTTCGTGAATTATGACTCCAGATCCGGGTGGTAGTAATTAATGAAGTTTTTATATTATTCCGCACTCGCTGTATTTCATTTTAATTTATTTGATGTTATTTACTGAATTGAATAAGAATTGACTTAATAATTCTCTAACATCAACTTGCCTAGCACGTGAAATGTTAAGCGCCATCACGGTCCCGACGGTAGGAATTCCGAGTCGTGATATTTAGTAGGTGTCTTGTCTTAGCCTTGTCACTACCTCGTCGGGGTTAGGCTCGACACTTACTGAGTATATTGGATCGGTTGCACTCATACTACACATTTGTATTTCTTGTACAGATTTTGACGTTGGTACCAACGGAGTCCCGAAAGGCACTTAGCGGATACTAGTCAGTGACCCAAGGTAGAGCTGCACCCCGTTCGCAGGCCTTAGAAGTCACTTCCTACTTTATTATATTATTTCCATTTTATTTCGGACAGTGTTGTGTTTCTTTTGAAACCCTTGTATTTAGCTTAATCTAGACGCTCATGTATTAGTGACACCGGATCTTGGGGTAGTTTATGTCATGCTATTGATCAGATTTCAAATATTTATTGCATTTTTTTATTTCGTATTATCTGTTGTATTGGCTTGTCTGGCATTTGGTGTTAGGTGTCATCACAGTCCCTCAGCTGGAATTTCGGGTCGTAACAAGATCCCTTTATCCGCGGAAACAACTTTTTATAACCTGGGCTTGAAAAAGTATTTCCATGAAAATATACCCATGACTCCAAGGTGAAAACTTGAGATATTATATATTTATTGTCCATAATGTTTCTTATTTTAGATTGTAGAAAGCCAACAAAATAAGCAACTCATAAGATAATATAGTGTTAGTATTTATGCAACAAGCTGGAAAATACCCCTAAAGTAGAAGAACAGTGATCACCTTTTTCTTCTATTGAACAATTTTCATTAACCAAAATAACAAGAAACAACAAAAAAAAAAGGAAACATTAACAAGATGGAATCGCTTGTAGGTTTAGTAAAGAAATTGAGAATTCAGTCTTAAGGAAAGAGACACTATAATTTGGCTTAAAGTCATTTTTGCCTAACATGGAAAATATGGTAGTAAGAAGCATTTCCCCTTTTTCCAAAGATGAGAGATTTAACCTATGTGGTTAGGCAATAGTATGGAAAACTAGCTAACCAACTGGACTTTTTCATCACTTACAGTTACCGATCTAACCACCTAACCAGATTGCTGCAAAACTAGCCAAAAATAAAGGCCTAACCACTACATATTGCTGGATTGACACATCAAAAGATGCTCTAACCTAAGCTTTACTCAAGCAAGGATAGGAACAGAGCCACAACATTGTGTAGGGATTCAGTAGATTTTAATTTGACGCTATATTTATACTAAAGTTTTTATTAAATATAAAAAAATATTTAATTACAAATTCTATTACTAAAACGAGATATGAATACTATACACAAATTCAAAACCTATAAACTCAAATGTTGTTTCGTCTTTGAGGCAGTGACTATCTTTTTCTAAAGTTGAAAGATAGGTGGGTCCCAGAATTTGGTAATTTAACCAAGGTTGATCTCATTCCCCACCAACTTTCTACTGCTGACAAAACATCAAAATTTTGATGGTAAAGGATAGAGTTTAAATTCTATGGTCGGAGTATAAAAAATATTTATATAATTAAGTTATTCAATACTTATACTACAAATCAAGTGATCACTTAAAATGTAGTTGTACTTTATTCTATGAGATAGAATTAATTAGTAACTTTAAAAAGGGTAACTAAGTAACATGAATTGCATTATAAAACTTCTCTCAAACTACTAATTAACCACAAGATAAAAGAACTTGATCTTTTCACTGACTTTATATGCCAACATTTTTTTAGGACAGCTAACCAAATTATGGTGCACACCTGTTCCTTTGCTTATCGACTTAAATAACTCATCTCTGGTTTCTTCTATACTAACATTTAGGAACTGGAAAACACAATACCATCCACTGTCAATCGAGACCTAATTATATTTATCATTTATGTAATTTTTAATATTCTCCAGAACTAAAATGAAATTTACAACAACAACAAAAAGGGAATGAGGGAGAGAAACAGTAAATGGGTAACCAATTATAGAAGCCCTTAGATCAAATATGAAGGGAAAGCGTGAAATTTTACAAAAGAATCAAAGTGGAAGGACATTAAATTGGTTAATGGAACTAGGTGACAGATGGATATCAAGATAAGATCATAACTGCTATATACGCACAAACGTAAAAAGATTAAAATATTCGTAGCCACTAAATCTCTGGTCTTTGAAATCTGCAGCTCCTCTTCTTCTTCTTCTTACTAATTAAATTTGATCAGTCCTCCTTAAAATTCTGAATTTCCTCTTCAAATTCACCTCAAAGTAAGTAATCCCAAGAAAAATACACCGATCAAAAGTGAAAAGCCACTAGAGAAGGTCCTTTTGGCACCATTAAAATATTGATCAACAGGGTATAAATTCCCTGGTGGACCAGTCATGTAAATGTATTGTGGATTTGGAGGATTTGGACCATAACCACCACTGCCGTCGCCGCCACCGCTACCGCCAGAAGGCGGAAGAGGAGGAGGAGGACAGTATCCACTTGGTGGCTTCTTTGGCGGTGGCGGCGATGGTGGTGGCAGAGCTGGTGGAGGTGGTGGTGGAGATGGAGGATTACATGGATTGTTACAAGGACAGCCACCACATTTGTTCTCAATAACCTCATCAAGTTTTCTTGGAATCAATCCATTTGTTATTTGTGTAGAAACCACAAGAAAGAACAAAAGGATGGGGAGTTTTGACATATTTCTGAGGCTGGCCATGAAAACTTACTATTTTTTCTTTCTTAAAAGAATGGGCTATATGAGTGTGTGTAACGAACAAATGGTATGTTAGGTATAGTGACTTTTGGTGAAGAACGTCACTAATTAAAATCAAATGAAAAGAAAGGAAAGTCTTTTTAAGAAATGAGAGCGGTTTGGTTACGCTACTTATAAGTGCATGGAAATTGCAAAAAGGCATGGGAAGAGTTTAGACATTGTGTAATTATATACTCCATTTTTTTAATAGAACACTTGAAGGTATAGATAGCAATATTTAATATATGATATGTAACCTAAAATAAAGCGTAAGTAATTTACTATTATATATATGTTGAATTACATTAATAGTATGTCTGCCTATAAGTTATATTTACACCATTAGCATACTAAAAATGTAATTACAAGTTACTAACTTACTCTGTTTAATAGCATTAATGATTGTTAAACTAAAATAAATGGTAACTAAATTGGTATAATAAATTAAATAATATCGAATGATGTAAATTATCAGATATCAGTGTATATAATTTGAATTTATAAATTCTTATATTGTATGTGGACAAATTAAATCGGTTGATTATTAGGCTAATATATAGGAGAGAGTGTGATCATGAGCTGTCTCTTCAATGAATTGTAGTGACTTAATCCTCAAGTCAATCAAAATGCAAGTGGACGGTGCATTTTGTTGTCCCACCATTGAACTCTCTTTAATATTTAAAGGTTTTTTCCATTGTTCGTTAAACACTTATTTGCATGATTATGAATACGTTTGATGTTATAGCATAAAAAACTATGTTGCATGTTGCGTTCAATAATTGTATTCCTTTTTCATTTAAAACTTCGGTCTAAGAACATGTATATGGAAAAGATTGAGACAAATGATTGGAGTTTAATAAAAGAATTAATAAGTAATTAGATTGGTTTGCTATTATTGGATTTTGTAGGTCAAAGTGAAGCCTATAATATGCTTGGTGCATGTGGGGGTTCCTTATACGTTATAATCTTTACTCAAGAATTCGAAATTCTTGCAATTTGCAAAGGGGGAAGCAGTTATCCTGCTTTTTATAACATGATAGAAGGTAAGAATTATTAGAGAATAATTCACTCCCAAAGTTGAAGGCGAATATTTTTAAAAAGGCTTTTTGTTTAATTTTATATATAGAGTAGTTGGACAGCCAATTATTAGTGTGAATATTTAAATGTAGGCATCAAGAAAATAGTGCAATGCAACATGTGAAATTAGCTGAAATTGAGATGACTGTTTCAAGAAACTTCATTATAGTTTTCACATGTCCATTTTTATTGCTTTAGACTAAACGAGCTCATATGTCAAAACTCAAAAGTAGTTCGATTGGTCAATCTCTACTTTACACTATTTAGCAGTTTCGATTTCCAAAACCTACATTTTATTTATAAAACTATTAGCAAACCAGAGGAATTACGAGTTTCAGTTCCTAGCCAGTTGGAAAAAAAAAATAAATAGTTTTCAAGCAACTCACTACTTGCAGTTGGCTAGTATGAAAAATGCTTTCCATGCTTGGGAAATGAAAAAAGGGAAACAAATTGAGCAAAAAACATAACTAGGCAAAATTATAGAAAACATTTCGCTGATGTAGCAGCATTAGGTCTTTTACACAAAGGCAAGAAAATATTTATATTCCTAGCCAAAATTCTTTAAACATTATACCTTAAATCACGCATCATTCATAGTTTCAGTTACCTACTTCTCCTTAATTAAGATAATTAGTCCTTAGTGTCAGACAATCTTCATATTCGTAACTGCCGTATTCCATATATTCCATATGCCATCTATTATTATATAAAGATATGAGAAGCGACTAATAGGAAGCAAACAAATGAAATATCTCGTATATTTCTTAGTGCCATAAAATATCTCCTAAATAGAAATTATTTCATGTATAATCATACGTGATGTATGACATGTATAAATTATACCCTAAATAATCCGACTATCTTGATGGTATAACAATTCTACATGTAGTATAAATCATGTATAATTTATCATATCGTTGTACATCACGTGTAATTATACATGAAATAATTTTCTTTTAATATTGTAGAATGATTGAGAGAAATATACATGCCTAATTGATTGCATATTATGATAGATTGAGTGATTGGAGAAAATAAGATGAGAGAAGGATATAATACGAAGAGAGAGGAAATCTGATTTCTTTCGACGAAGAGAGAGAAAGTGTGAAATTCCAAAGATCCCATGATTTGTGCATTTTTCTATGGTCATTAATTATTTACTTATCTTTAAGATATGCTCTAAATGAAAAAAAACAAATCTTCCGTTTATGTAAAAAATAAAGATTGCTAATATTTTCTTAAATATTTTTTTAAAAGTGCTAAGCCATGTATATTTCTCAAAACAATATCAAGGGGTTAAGAAATGCTCATTTATGCGCTTTTAGGTATAGAAAAGTTGGATTTTATGGTTTCTTAATTTTACTTTTTCTTGGTTGTCATTATAGGTGGTTATGGGGTTATACCAAGGATCTGCGCTCAGCCCATTCTTATTTGCCCTGGCGATGGACGCCCTAACACACCATATTTAAGGGTAGGTTCCATGGTGTATGTTGTTCACTGATGATATAGTTCTGATCAATGAGACACGAGGCGGCGTTAATGAAAGAATAGAGGTATGGAGGCAGGCCCTGGAGTCCAAAGGTTTCAAGTTGAGTAGGACTAAGACGGAATACCTGGAGTGTAAGTTCAGCGGCGCGACGTGAGAAGCGGACGTGGAAGTGAGACTCGACTCACAAGTCATCCCCAAGAGAAAAAGTTTTAAGTACCTAGGGTCAGTTATCCAGGGAGATGTGGAGATCGACGAGTATGTCACACACCGTATTGGGGTGGGGTGGATGAAAGGTTAGCATCTGGAGNAGGGGGAGGGGGGTGAATTGTTTATTTTTATATTTTAATAGCTACTAGTTGACTACTTTTCTAATTAGTCGACTAGATGTAATAACCAGATAATAAGAAGAGCAGAAATTAAGATGCAGAAATAAAGTGCAGGAATTAAAGATATTGAAATTTTTATACTGGTTCGGATTCAATGTGAATCCTAGTCCAATCCTTTGGGTTGCAATGAAGTTCTCTTTCAGTGAATGAGTTTCTTGAGTACAATCGTGAATAGTGTGGTTTACACCAATGGCTCAGTTTCTATGTCACTCGTTTCTTTTTGATAGAATGCCTCACCAGTATTTTTCTCTCTTTCTTCTCTAACTTGTTATACAACAGATCTAATAGAGCTACAATGTTTGTTTGCAGTAGAACAAAGAGAGGGTATTTGGTTCGATCAAAGTATATTTTTCTAAGGCTTAAGGATGTGTATAAATACTTTGTAAGAGGCCGTTGCTGAAGAAATTTTCCAACCCAAGAGATTTGATCCTTGGAAAGAGATTGATTCTTTCCAAGAATAAGGTTATTTGCCGTTGCTCTTCCTTGATGAAAGGACTTTAATAGATTTCCATCTACAGGTCTTGATAGCGCCGGATTTACTCCTTGATTTTTAGTCCTTCCAGTAATAGCAACTTGATTGATCATCTTGCAAGATCTTCGATACTTCTTTTTCGCTTCAATCAATCTCGGATTGATTTCCTTGTCTTTGATTGATTCCTTCAATCCTAGATGTTTTCCTTGAGTTCCTTCAATAGATTCCTCCAATCTTGGATGCTTTCCTTGAGTCTATATACCAAGAGCAATTATATTATTTTCATCATTAAAACTAAAACCTAACAATCTCTCCCCTTTTGATGATGACAAAATAATATATGTAAACATCAGTTGATTTCCATGTATTTTACTGCCCCTCAATGAGTTCAGTTGACTTTGTTGTTTAGATTATTTCCTTTAGTCGACTTCTTTTGCAGGATCTATGACTCCCTCTCAAGAGGTGCCGCGTGTACCTCTAGTCGACTTCCCTGCACGTACCTGCACAACTATATATATCCTTTCTCCCCCTTTTTGGCATCAACATAACAGTAGGTAACAACATACTATATACTAAAACAGGATTTATAGCATGATATGCTTGCACATTAACGACGTTATCCAGTCCAAAACATCATCCAATGACTGGTTATCCAGTCCAAAACAGCAAAACAAAAAATATTGTCTAAAACTTCCACATTAATGACGTAGGAAATAGGTAAGAGTGTTGCAAATCGCCTCCTTTAGTTGATCAAAGCTGGCACAGGCTGAGATAGTCACTCCATCAAGCCTGTCGTGTACCTCCTTGAATGCCTTGACTGCGCTTTCCCTAACTATGAGAAATGCATCTCTTATCTTTGACACATCAGACCTTGTTTCTTTAGAGATTGCATGAATGTCTCCAACAGTGGACTGGGTAGCAGCAAGAAGATCTTTGATGGTGGACAGCTGATTGTCAATGGCAGCAAGTTTCTCAGCAAGGTCAGGGTCACTAGGACTATTATGGGAAACAAAGGTTTTGGATTTTGATTCAGGTTGAACAAGTTTGACCTCACCTTCTTGATTCTTAACCCATGAGCCCTTCACACACACATACCCCATACTCGCAAACGCTCTGGAATTGTAAGATTTTGAAATAGAGATGAAGGGATATTCAGAGATGAAGATATTATGAGCTTCCAGAATATGAGTGATGGCCATGCCATAGGGCAAACTGGTGGGATCATCAGCACTTTCAATCATAAAATTGATGACCCATGAGGATAGTTTGATCTTGAGTTTTGTCACAAGGCAATAGACAAGAAAAGTATCTCTTTGAGAGAAGGTTGAGAAAGAATCCGTATGAGGAAGCAGAGTAGTTGCAACAATGTGGGCTAGAACACGAGTTTCAAAACTAATATCACTTGGACCTAACTTGTTTGGGAGAGATTCAGATGGACACTCAGCAATACACCGTTTTTCTTGATCAAAAGAGATTTCAAAATTATCAGGACAGGAATTTTTAAAAAGCATGGGAAAACTAGAACACTTACACTGGAAAATTGAGTCAAATATGGAACAATCAAGAACAATGCGCTTCCCTAACACTAAGGATTCCAACTTGTCAGACTTAGGAGGGGGAACAAAAAAGAATTTTGACCAGCCTTGATAGACGAACAAATCTTTTACCTTACAATTTAGGGCTTCCATGTCATCAAGGTTGACTACCCTCCCATGAGCAATTGGCTTGTCTTTCAAAGCGA